ACCCTGTTTAAGATGAACAGATATGATAAAAATGAATATTTTTTTCACAAAATTTGATAATAATCCAATTGAGGAAGTACAGAATCCAGTGGTACAGTCAAATTTTAAATAAAAAAAATACCGCGTACCATTTTTTGTCAAATTTGACAACAAACAAAAAAATTATATATAATAATTACCCAAAAAACGAGTTAAGAGAGCAAAATTTATAATAATTTAGACACGTTTCAAAACTTCATTTTCTATAGAAGTTTCATATAAACAACTTAGCATTTATGAATATTGCAATACAACTTAAATTTTTAGGAGACAATCACTTGAAAGAGCAATTTTTAAAGTGCAGAAATTATGTTTGTTATCAACGAACAGAATGGCTTCATTTGACAAGATTTTTTTTTATTAGTTTGAATTTGATTAATATCTTCATTGAAAAGTGAAAATGAAAGATAGATAATGCCAAATGAAAATAATATTTTCATAAATTAAATACTTATTACCAATTCTTTTTATTTTCTTTTATTTTGAGTAGTGTGTCAGAAAGTTTAAATTTAATAATGATTTATATCTATCAACTATATTTACTTAAAAGCTTGTATTAACAAAAACAAAATTCAGTATATCCTTAACAGAATAATCAAGGTTTTTAAATACAGTATCTTTCTTTATTACTAAATAACTTCACTGGTTTTATCAGATATAATTAGTAGTTCTTTAGCCGGACTCGCCAACTATCTAATAATTTAATAATAAATTCCAAGAAAACAACCAATTAAATTTAAATGACAGTTATAAATTTTTCCATAAATTATACGAATTATTCAAGTTCAAAAAAAAATTAATTTAACTCCGCCGTGAAATTTTAAATAAAACGAACATACATAATTATTTTTTGACTGACATCAATTTGGCTTACAAAATTTGAATGCGAAAGGATTATGTACGAAAAAAATACATTTCACATATTTCTCTCCAAAATTCCTAAAGAGGTAAGCAAATTTTTTTTGTAAAATGATTAGGTGTTCAGAATACATACTTATAAAGGAAATAATATAAGTTGAAGCAAGTGGTCCGTTATATGCTGTACTAGTGGGAAGTTTTTTATCCATAAATTTTTTTGGTTTATAAATAACTTAAAATTTAAATTTTTTAAGAAATATTTAGAAAAAAATATCCACAAAGCATTTATTAGAAACAACAAATAAACATTCCTAAAATGTATTTCCAAGTAGATTTTTACTAATATAATCTTTAATAATAAGCTTTATTATTAGTGTTAATGATACTAAAAATAATTCATATTTTTTGACAAATTGTTAAAAATATTAATTTTTAAAAATAAAATGATTACAGACAAGATTACTCGTTTATAAAAGTCATTTTAAATATAAATAAGTTGAATAGTAGTAGTTATATCTTTTAAAGCTGTGGCAAAATTTCCGTACATATTAATTTGTCTGTAGCACCTAAATGATTTAAAATTTATTTAGAAAAATATCGAATTAAGAAATTAGAAAAAAACTATTCTCGTAAATTTACCTTCAAGTATCTAATTTATATATTTTTTTAGCAAAAGTAAAAACTGTAGTATTATGAATGTTGGGAGTACAAAAAAACAACTCATATGTTGTTAAATTTTGAAATGTGAATTTTATTTTTGTTTTGCCTACAACTTGTACGTGATCGGAGTACAATTTGGATGTATGTATAAATACACTAGGTTATAAACAACTTTGCGGTATACATTTCAGTGTATAAGCCATTGTGAGGCTAGAATTAATTCTCAAAAATAAGTATAAGTTCACCTTGGAACGTTTTCAAGAAATCTATGTATTGTGTTTGCCTTGCCTTTGAAATGCTTGCTCTTACAGCGGTAGAACAGAATTAAATATTTATATCGTGTTTTGTTAATATTCAGGTTAGGTGCAGATCTTTTGCAGAAGAGAATTTCAAATCTCTAACAGAATTATTATTACGTGCTGTCTGAATGTATTAGTTTTCTATTGGCTAACCCATTGGATAGTATTTTAGTATAGTAAGGTATTCCAATCATGAATGGACATATAATTGGTATTGTGAAATACAAAACAGCGCTTACATATGAAATAGAATCTCAAGATGCTATTTCATATTATTTTATTAATAGTAGCTACAAAATATTACAGAAAAATATTAAATAAATAAACAAATCCTGCATAAATGCTTTTAGGAAATTGTAAAAGCTGTAAGTTTTTCATTTTAAATATTTCAGATCCGTAGGAAAGTTATAGAGGAAAAAAAATGGCCAAATATAAATTAAAAACAAATAGTTCAGGAAGAATTGCTGCAACTGTTTACTGATTTAGTTTTTTTATTTAATTTAGTAGAAGAAGGTAAAAATTGATGGTTTTTTAATTTGGTTTCTACATAAAACGCGAAGTATTGGAAGTTAATGACAATCTATTAGATTCTTTGCAAAATTTTGAATAAATAACTTTTGAATTAATATAAATCACTAATTTTAAGGTTGCATTACAAAGTAAAGAGTCAACTGACTAAAATATTTAAAAATTAACAAATCCTGAAAAAAAAAACAGATATCATTAATGTAGGTACACAAAACATATCTAACCTCTCAGACTCCTAAATGCAGTTGTTTCCAGCAATATCGGGTGACTTGCCTTGTAGGGGTTAGATATGTTTTGTGTACCTAGATTTCATGTATCGTAGAAGATTGATTGACTTCCTTTGATAGTATTTTTTAACTTTAGATCATCTTAATACTTTATATAATGTTCAATGCACACCTCAATCTCACATTATTAAGGCTGATGGTGTTATGTAGACAAGTAATCGCACTTTTAGTAAGACAATGATAGAATTCATCCAAGAAGTGACGAAGTGTAGAGCAACTTCCTTTAATTTTTCGCATTGGAAGATCATGGAGAACACTTAAACATCAGAAAATGTACCTTTCCTATTTTGACCAGTTAATTTGTAAAGATACTCAATAATTTTGATTAATGCATGCGTTAATAGTTTGCTAAAAGCATTCTACAGGGTGTGATTATGTTTATAATACCGTACGCGATTTTGTGTACGATCAACAGGCATGCAAAATTCAGGAAACGTAAGATAAAAATACGAGGTAAAAATATGCTATTTTCCTTATTTTGAATGTATTGTTAGTTCTCTTATAGCCTGAAGAAAACATACAGAGAGTCCCAGAATATGTGGGCAATCTCTAGGATTTATACAGGCGATGTTAAAATAACATGACTTGTTCCTATAAAAAATTTTTATTGAGAAGATACTGGCGCCTGAATATCGATTTTTTTTTAATAACTTTTAAAATACTTTGTGTAACTTAATTATTTTTTAATACGATGGACAACACATAAGACTCGTTAAAAATTAATACATGAAAACAATTTGGCTTATTTGGTTTGCCAGGGACGGACTAGTTGTAGCACAATAATGCCAATTATATTTACACCTTTATAGTAATAATATTTTTAGATAGCTTGAACCTTAAACTAAAAAAATGTTACTCTACATATACAGATACAGATAAAATGAAGTGTTGTCGGTTCAACTTGAGCTCCTTCTAATGTTATATATTCCCTAGGTCTACGAATTACAGATTATTGGATCGAGGAGGCCAAGTGCATGGACATTCTGTATGCGATAAGGAGTTGTTGCTCTTTAAGGATTCTAAGAACCGTAGATTTTGGACAATTAAACTGGGCAGACAATTTCCGGACACTTTTTGAAGGAACTTCTAAGGCATTTAGGATATCTTCTTCAGCGACCTCACCGCCATTGATTTGATTTCCAAAATTGTGTTTGGCTTTGGCAAACGTTCCTAAAATGATTTACAGTATTTTAATTATACTTTCTAAATCCGAGAGATTGCCCACATATTCTGAGACACCTGGTATATATCTGGTATAGTGAAGAGATATAGTTTCTAACTTGCCCCCCTTTAAAATATTATTATTATTTATTGATTTCCATACATGTATCATAAATGTGATTTGTACCAGTATACTGTTGAGTATCATTTTTTATTTATCTTGTAGGTGTAGGTAATTTACTGAGAATTAACTGAACAATTTGGGCAACATACATCCACTCTACTTATTGTTATTTCTGTGTATTTGTCTATGTATTTACTTTTTAAAGCACTTGTTTTCAGTATCATATTTACACACATGAAATCACTGTTGTTTTATCTGAAACAAGCAATACAAATGTTACCAATTAGAAATTGATTCTGTCACGATGTTTGTTTTACCTCGAAAATGTGTCTAACTACATACTTATAATTTAGAATATTTGCGCAGTTGGTAACAAATTGCGTTTTTTCTACAATTCATGTCAATAAAAAGTTTTATTACAAGGTAAGCTGGTAATATGACTATAATAACATGAAATTATTTATGTCAGTATTTTACTTAATGTCCACTAATCTTTTTTAAATGTCATTTGAATTAAAAATGATGTTCGAATCAATTAAACTTAAACACTGTCGCTTTTGTAGTTAATATGATTAAACGTTTCAAATTTTAGTGGTCATTTAATGTTAGATTTACTCAGTTCCTGACATTTTTGGCACATTTCTTGCTTAACAATTTTTAGTAACTATTTGTTTAATGCGATTTTTTTATTACTTCAGTTTCTTCATCTTAACTTTTACAGTAGTATTGCTTAACGTTCGTTATTTTACTTTTAGGTGTAGGACGTCCAGTAAGAATTCGTAACACCTACTTCAACCACAGTCAATTATCATATTGGAGACTAATGCTACCCAATAGAACTTTCGTGTAATTATGAACGTTACGTTTGAGTATTCTACACCTACTTAACCAAATCGACCTACTTCGAAGTGCATTGTTTCACGAACCGACATAGGTTTGCTTACCCTCAAGTCCCAATAAGGACTGATATCTAATCTTACAGAGGAAAAACAAAACGAGTCGTAATATTTTCTACGGAGATCTAGTTCAAGATAACTGACATACCTAATTCTTCGGCGAAAGTACTTGCAAACTCCTCCGGATCATGAACAACTGTCACTCGATTTCACAGACACATGGCCGAAGAGCACAACCGAGCGGGCGTGACTTAATTTTTCGCGGTCTAATTTCACGGGACTTTTAACCATTTGAAAATAGGATGCGTTTAGTGAAGAGATGTCCCAGAGGAAATCACAGATGCAGCGCAACGGAGTGGCGCAGAATGGTCTCCGTTTTACTCAAAACTAGCCGCGGTTATCTTGGTTTGAAAGTCTGGTACTACCTGCACAGGTAAGCCAGTACTTCGTTCCAACTAGTTTGCCGGCGATGTAAACATTCAACGCGGCAGAGATGCTGTGCGGTCACGTGAGTGTACGCAGATATTGCAACAACAAACAATGACAGATCTTGGAGATTTTGCCTAACTTCCACATATCCTCATTTCTCATCAGAGCGAGATAATTTTGAGCGGTTTGCACACGGTTATGAAGCAAATTATTACATTTTTAAATCAAGTTTCAAAATATTCTAAAAGAAGATTTTATGGTAAAATTTACTAATTTGGACCTTGGTTTTTGGAAGCAGGTATTTGGAATAAGCAAATAATGATGTCACAATCAGTTTACGCAGATATTCGTAAAGAACTCGAATCAGCTTTGAATAAAAATTACGTGTTAGATTTGGGTCCTTATCGTCGTATAGGCAAATTGTCGCAGAGGTTATTGCAAAACCTAAACAAAAAAAAAATACAAAAAATTGCTTTGAAAATTAACTATTATTTAACTGTTGGAATTATATCAGTTGGTTTATCCCAGCTTAGGATGGTGATAGCGCAGTTTTTGCGAAAGATACTTATCAAATATTTTGGAAATATTGAACAGTAGCAATATTTCGAGTATGAAGTACTAAGTTACTTCAATTGCAGCGTTAGTTGATTAACACTGACGGAAATTTCGACGCTATTTGTATCTAATGTAAAAGAAGTCATTTATGTTTATAGTTTTTCCTTATTTTTTTTTTGTTCAAAACATATCTTAACTTAAGGAGCATCTTGCTTAGATCATATTAGTCCAAAAGGTTTGATTGAACCTCTGACTAAAACTGCTGGTTATCAATGTGTATGAAATATCCAAAAAATAATTAGACCAGCGTATTTGGCGTCCATAAAACCCCCGGAATACCAAATTTCATAAAAATATTTCGCACCGTTTGGAAATTTTCGTAAAATTTCTATTTAAAAAATTTTAATTTGTCGCACTGTATCTCGAAAACAAGAAGAGATAGACATATAGTTCATATGACAAATAATTTTTATTTTTTATCGTACTATCACCCCTTGAATTTACGGGGGGGTCTTTCTGAAACACCCTGTATATTTCTAGCATTGAACAACATTATTTGAGTCCATTTGACTGAAGATTAAAAAAATACATTTCATTGAATTAACTTAATATCTTTAAAAAACGATAAAAAATGCGGGAGCTAATAATAAAATATAGGTTTAAAAAAATAATCCTCGTAATAATACTCGTATATCGAGGTAACAAAATAAATATATTTATCTGAAATACGCAACATCTAGTAAAAAATATTTGTTACTATAAAAGAATTTATCCATATTTTTAAATAAATTAGAACCTAAAGTAAAATAATCACAGCTGTCTTTGCCTATACAATTTTTCTTCTGTTGCTTGACTAGACAAAAGTTTCTCTGTTTTGTTAAATTATTAAATGGATTTGTGAAATCAGAGTAGGTACTTAAAATTCACAAGTTGTAAAACTTCCAAAGTCCGTAACTAAGAAAAAATCCGCAAGCCTGTAGTAGTGTAGAACCTAATAAAATTCTATAGATCTACGGATTATTTCCTCGTTCTGGCAACACTGTACTTTCCTAACATTTTTGTGAGCGTCTTTTACTAAAACTATAACCCATCTCAAAATGCTTGAGAGTTCAATGAACTCCGACTGTAACAAAATCATCATTAGACAGAGGCGTGCTTGCTGTTTTTCGTTTATTAATTTTTTGTTTATTGTTTTAATTATTAACATTGATAACAGAAATACTTATTTCATATAAATTAATACACTACATATAAAATAATGAAAACGGCCGAAAAATCTCGCGCGAATCATCATCACCGATGTTAATGTCATATGCTGTGGCCTCTAGAAAAAAGTGTACGAAAGAGATACATTATTACATATTCATGTGCAGGACAAAGATAAACAACGCGTCTTCAAAGTTCTATCGCTGTGGTGGTACTTAATCAGAATTTTCCTCCAATAGTAAAGTGGCTTTATTGAATGTTATCCTAAGCATGTAGATTCTGAATGTCCCTCGTATTTCTAGCAATGGTAAGATAAAGTCTATGGAAATTTTAACGTCGTCCACAACAGATACATCTCAACTCTATTTTAAAACTAGTTTTTTTTTATAAGAACAAATGTTAAAAATAACCACGAAATAAAAAAAAAAGTTGTTTTGAAAGTGACCGTTGAGAGCCGCAAGAATGCTTAAACCTCATTTTAATTTAGTATTTTACGGACTCTTACATTAATAAATTAATAATAAACTTAATTTAAGAATCCTCGACACGAACGTTTTATATCAAATATTTATGTTGTGGATCGGAATTCTCGGTATTACTTGCGTTATAAACCTATAACTGAGCATATGACGCTGGATAAGCAACGTGGTGCCTGAGCAACATTAGTAGCTGTCAGCGCTTCACGATATCTACCGTTTTATATCTCGTTATTGGAATTCACCGAGATTATGACAATCCCGCAGTTTAAAAGCTTTACAAGAACTCAGGGCCGCAGATGGTGGAGGTAATGTAAATTGATCCAAGACATGAAAAATCGTTTTACTTTTTTAAAGGCTCATTCGTATTTTATCGGTAACCTTGGCTCTACAAGGTTCAATGGAATTTTATAAGGTAATTTAACGTTTATTTTATATAGACAATGTTCAGCCTCCTCCGATGCATTTACCATCCGCTTTATTTCATTACAGGTTAAAAATACATTTTTGCTCCAATTGCACCACGTCGCACAAATGTAAATGAATTCAGTGATCAATTTCGAATCATATTGAATAAAACAACAATACTTGTGTGCCATGAATAATCAAATAAATATCCGAATAACTGACACTACTCATTCTTGAAGAAATCCTGATATACTAAAGCAATTTACAGTTTAGGAATTTTAATTTGATACGTGAATAAGTTTGCGATATAAAGAAATCAGTAAAGAATTGACGATGTCTTATAAGAAAATACTGATTAAAGAAGTTCCCTCGTGCTTTGGTTTAAATTGTAGGCAATATGACGTTTAGAAGCTTTGGATCAAAGACCATCAAAATTGTATTCAAAGGTATGTAGTAGATCAATGGTGATCCTGACAATTACAAGAAGTTATGGCATTGGAATTGTAATATCTACCAAATAATGAAAATATCAACATGTAACTTTGTTTATGTGTAAACTAAAGTTAGATATTTTGGAAGTTTCCACTCTCTTTCATCGGAGGTATCAATCTTTGCATTTAATACAGTTAAATTCTTATAGGTACTTACTACGAGACGTATTTTTTTTCTCAAATTCCTCATGTATGCATTTACCAAGTCTTGAAAACTGCAAAATTTCTATTGTAAATAGAGACATTAATAGTCTAAATTCTCAGGGCGTTTGAAGACTATAAGCAAAACTTTTACATGATTACTGTATTCAAAAAAATAGTAATAAAGTCCTGAGAGAATTGGATGGATGAAGAGGATGCGACGCCAAAACGTTCTGGTAATAATAACGCAGTTTATAAATGTTTAATTCAAAAGTCCTAAATAAATTTCTTCTGTTTATAACTTTTGATCTAATCAATATTTGACTTTAAAGCGGTAGGCAAACAAAATAAAATCAGTAGTTATATCACAATTTGGAAAATCATTGATATAGATAAGAAATAGAATAGGGCCCAATACTGAGCCTTGGGGAACTCCATGTACTATTTTTGTTAGGTGTGAAGAACAAGAATTATAAAAAACATCCTGAGTTCTGTTCGATAGATAAGACACAATAAGGGTCACGCTATTGTCATCAAAATTGTAAAATTTTAGTTTATTTAAGAGAATTCTGTGGGACACGCAGTCAAATGCTTTAGTCTAATCGTAACAATTTCCACTGACAACATTGATTCGAAATTGTTTAAAATAATTGTAGTCAAAGTAGTAGTAGCTAAAGTTGTTGACCTTTTGTTCCTAAAACCATATTGACTAGAATGGAATAAATTATTGTTTTCAAAATACTCTGCAATTTGAAAACCTTTGCCAGAACGGGAACAAGAGATATTGGTCGGTAGTTAGATACATCATCTTTCTCACCTTTCTTAAAAACAGGAATAACCTTGGATAACTTGAAAGCTGTAGGAAATACGTTGGAGCTAATACATTGATTAATTAGTTTAAATAGTGGAAAAATTATAATGTTCTTAAGAGTTTCCAAGATTGGAACATTCAAATCATAAGCATCTTTGCTTTTTTTTACTTTTAAGTTATTTAGAATAGTCCTTCCTTCATTAAAAGACAACTCTCTGAATTTAAAAGTCGTTTGTGACCTCGGGGCAGTCAAAAACTCGGAAGGTAACTTGTTGGGAAGCGGGAGCTCACTCAAAA